TTTATTTATTCTGTCTTCTTATTATTATTTTTGTTTGTTTTTTTTTATTTATTTTTTAGTGGTTTTCAACTTATAGTTTATATTTATATATTGAAATGGAGTGGGTATATTTTCGTCATCATGCTATAATGAGAATAACATTCGGATCATTCTGATATTTGTCTGTGTGTGTGTGTGCGTGCGTGTGCGTGTGAATGTGTGTGCGTGTAAGTGTGTGTGTAAATGTGTACGTGTGTGTGTGTTTTTAAACCATAACTTTGTATGCATGTGCGTAATATTCGTGTTAATAACTTTTTTCATATGTACTTTACAAGGGAGGCAAAGGAGAGTTATTTATTTTTATTATATTTATTATTTATTTTTTTATTTGTTTGTTTATATTTCTACGATCAAGCATTATCGTTGCAGTTATTAAAAATGAAAATATATGTGAGAATAGAATAAACCTGCAAAAAATTGAGAAACTCTCTTTTAAGTCATAATTAAATCGGGTAATGACGTAACTTAGATCGCTTAACTGTTCTAAAATTAAGAAATAATAATATTATTATTATTATTATTAAATAATAATAAATTGAATGAAATAAGAAATAATTAAGATAACATGTTAAAAACAGTAGCAGGCAGCATTTGGCCGAAATCATTTTTTTAGCAAATAATTTAACTAGAAGCCAGTCAAGCTAGCTAACTGCAGATTATAAAGCCAATATTTACAACAAAATTTTGGTTAGAACGATAAACGTGTGTGTGTGTGCGCGTGTGTGTGTGAATTATAAATGGTATGAATATGAGAATGATAAAAAACGTTTGGTATTTGCAGCAAGTTAGGAAAGCCCAGCGGTCGAAAGTTTGAAATATAGATCAATGAAATAATAAATTAGCGGTCAATCTAACTAGAAAAACCGGCTGTTAAAATTTGAATTATGAAGATAAAATATAAAAATGGATATAGAAGGAGAAAAAATTAGTTAAAAAAAACTATTTCGCAAAACATTTGACTACGTTCCATAAGGAACTACATGACGTCACACGGAGGAACAACGTCTCCATCACTTCCGTTAACAACTATGACGTCATTGTCAACTTCTGAAGCGCGTTCATCTTCAACTTCTAAACCGCTGCGTTGTTGTTCGTTATCAAGTAGTTGATCACGATGCTGTTGCTCGCGTAGCTGTCCGCTTATTTCAACTTTTGAGATCAATTCTTTCCTGTGGTTTCCAAGTTGATCTCTGCCATCTTTGCTTATTTGTAATCTTTTATCGATCTCGATCCTATAATCGTCGTCATCGGTGACGAATGATTCGGCACTTGTCGAGCCAGCTTCATCATCGTACTCACTGATTGTACTCAGAGACTTGGCCTCATTCATGCAACATGGGAATGCTTCTATGGGGTAGAAATGTTGTTCGTGTTGTTGTTGTTGTTGCTGCTGCTGCTGCTGTAAATATTGCTGTCGTTGTTGTAGATATTGTTGCTGTTGTTGATTGTAGGGTGGAAAAGTATGTTGTTGTTGCTGCTGTTGTTGTTGTTGTTGTTGCTGTTGTTGTGTATATTGTTGAAATGCGTACGGCTGGAGTAGTTGCTGATGAGAATACGGTTGAAATGATGGTGAATAACACGCGTCGTCATCAACATTGTCGTCGTTGTAATTATTATTAATGCTCTTCTCGTCTTGTTTCCTTTCGAGATTTTCTAAGAAACCTCTCAATTCGTTTAATTTAGCGAGTTGTTTTGTGTGTTGTTGTTGCTCAATTTGTAGTTGTTGATGTTTATGTGGCTGCTTCTGCTGCTGCTGGTAGTGGTGAGTTTGTAACTGGTTGTTCGCACGACAGCCGACGTAACGATAATCATCGTCGTCGTCGACGTCGTTGTTGTTGTTGTTGTTATTGTTGTTGTTGTGGTTCAACCCATCATCATCAAACTTCTCAACAACATCGTGGTAATGATAATGATTATCGTCAGATTGCGGTGAATCAGGCTGCTCCGGATAGCGATCATCCTGCTGATGATGGTGGGGATGAGGAAGATGATGAGGATGATGAGGAAGAGACTGGCAAGCCAGATCCAGATGCTGCAAGTTGCTAACAACCACCAAGTTATCAGAGGTCCTCTCACATTTCTGGGCGATCGGTTTCGGGATGGATAACTTCCTCCTAGAGGTCGATGCAATTTTCATAATGGTTTCCAACAGGTTTGCCACCTCCACGTCAACACAGAAGGGATCCCAGTAAAATGAATCCTCAGGATTCCTCCATTTGTCGTCTCTTCGTCCGTTTAGGATAACATTCCCTTTGATGCTGCGCGAGAAGACGGGACTTATTTTGGTATCCGTTTCCTTATCTGTGTCTACATTTGGATCGAACGTTATCGGACTTTTTTCTTTTGAGATCTTGTAGTCTAAAAACTTGTGGCCGCAAACAAAGAAGCCGCACGATCGCACTCTCTTTCTTAGCGTTTCAGGTTCGTAGACGAAGCAGAGGATGTTGATGCCATCGACGTCGCACTCCTGCCTTTCCATGGCGATCAAGTGTTTGGCCTCACGCACGTTTATTTGATGGTTGCCGCCAACTACTACGGGAAGTTCCTTTCCGAGCAGACGAATTAAATTAATCAAGTGCCTGAAGAGTTCTTGACATTTTCTAGCGCCATCTTGGTTGTGATACTGCTCGTTCACGAACCAAGAGAGAGCGAAAAATTCCAAGCCCGGGATGATTTTCGATTTCAAACGACAGATGGCCTGCTTCACGTCACCTTCAACTTTGACCTGCGGTGACCAGAGGTGCTCTGAGGCTTCGTAGAGGTCGGAATCGTAGATGATGAACGCCGATGGCTCTCCGAAGAAACTGAACTTTTTGTTGAGTTCGACGGAGAGAGGGTGGAAGTGGGCAGCTTGTCCGAGGAAGACCTGGCAGCCAGTGTTGAGGAGAGCCCTCATGACCGCCGCACACGTTCGTGATGTCTCACCTGCTTTGAATCTGCCCTCCATACAGTGGGATGTTATGTGAATCTTTTCCGACAGTCCCATCTTTTGCTCTAGCTCTTGTGGCTGTTGTTGCTGCTGCTGTTGTTGCTGCTGTTGTGGATGTTGCGTTTGAGGTCGGTAGTAGTACCATTGTTGATTAGTGATCGATTGTTTGGCTGTGCTTTTTCCTTTGTTTGTGTCTTTCATTGTGTATGTCTGTCTCAGTCTGTCAGTTTGCCTGTCAGTTCGTTTTTCTTTTTTTCTTTGTTTTTCAAGTTTCGAATTTTCTGTCGAATTATTACAATTTTCAACGTCGTCAGAAGTGTAATACATAATATTAAATAAATAAATGTCATTAAACAGTTTTATTGCAAAATTTCAATGCACCACTACCGCACACAGACTGTTCAACGTTTCGATAGTGAAAAAAAAGCAAATTTAAATGTAGTTCAAGTGGGCAGTGATTAAAATTAACTGCGTGCGTGTACAAAACCTATTAAATCACGTACAACTGTAGCAATAAACGATGCAATAACGTATGTTAGCACTCAGCCATGAGCAAGCCTTGCTTATATTAATAGTACGATAAATTGATTTTTTTCAAATGTACAACACTCACAACCTAACCATTTTTTTTATCACATGAAGATGTGTCGAAACGAACCTCCTTAGTTATATATATAGATAGATAGATAGATAGACAGACAGACAAATAGACAGACAGACTTACATATACATATACGATACTTTATGAATCTAAATTAATAAGATTTCATTTATTTAAAACTTAAATAGTTAATAAAATGGTTGGTACAATTTTTTACCTTTTTCGTGAATGGTGGCAGCTTCAAACAAATTTATCGGATGATAAAAGTCTTTTTTGTTCTGTGTGCTTTTTTAATTTTTTATTATTTAAAAAATTATGCTCACTGAAAACAAAAGCGAAATGCTAGATCTATTATTAAGACGAAAGGTATTCAACTACTATTTTTTCTTCTATCTAAACTTAGTTCTCGTTAATTTAGAAATTTAGTTAGATAGATAAATAGCTAGTTTATTAGCTAGTTAGCTAGTTATTTAGTTAGCTAATTAGTTAGTTAACTAGCTAGTTAGTTGGTTGTTGATTGTTCAGCAGCTGTTTTTTTTTTGATCATCTCTGTCAAAAAATCAAAAATAAAAATTTGCGTTAGTTTAATTCCAAAAAATGAAAAATTAAAACAATTTGAAAACAGTTTTGATCACCCAGCCAAAAAAGCACTGCCAGCATCCGATCTATCACCTACTTTAAATCATCTCCCTATGAAATTAAACGTCTTACCTAATGATATTAATCAATTCGATTCAAGGTAAATACAAACATACAAACACACATACAACAGTATATACAAATACGAATACATACTCGTATACAGAAACAATACCAAAATTAGAATTAACCCTCTCTTCCTTTGTAAATATTGAGCACTTAATAAAATAATTTCAGGCACACATACGCTTATGTTAAATTCTTTAGCAATTTCAATCAATATTAACTTGCATTACATGCGTACATCTAGGTATTACCTATATCTAGAGGTATACATGTTCATCTAAATGTTTGTATGTACGTAGAGAAGAGAGAGAGAGAGAGAGAAGTAGAGAAGGATAGCGAAGAACATCTATTTCAATTTTCTGATTATGTAGACGATCTATTAAGGGATCCATATGTTGGTAGTATACAACAATCAGACGAGCTAATAGAGAAGATGGTGTTTTGTTAAGCATACAGGTGTTTATGATAGCGAGAGAGAGAGAGAGAGAGAGGGAGAGAGAGAGAGAGAAAGAATAACAAAAAGGAATATACATACATGTGAGAGACTGAGAGAGAGAGAAAGGGGGAGAGAGAGAGAGAGAGAGAGAGAGTCCAATACGCATGCTTTATGCACTTCAACGTCACCCACAATCATCTTCTTGCATCAGATGTGTCTAGTTACCAAGGGCATTTTTACTTTTTTATAAGCGCGTACCTACCTAGGACGAAATAATGCTTCAGACGTTCAAGCATGTAAATGTAATTAATAGTCGGGCGAGATTCACTATCAAATACAGCAAAAAGATCAACACATTTTTGAAGTTTATACCGCCAACTCGATGTATTTGAATTCCTCCTGTATTTACAATCAATGGTATGTCTCCATTGAGGTATTTACTTATAAATCCAGACATGTATTTGTTCGTATTCATGATGGTTACTTGAGTGTACATGAAAAATGTGTATTACAGAACTGACTGTATATTTTATCGGGTATTTGATTGTGTTGACGTTTTAATAAATGTATGTGTATTTATATGAGTGAATACACATTTGTATAGAGGTTTTATATCGTTTAAATTTGTATAAATTGGCGAATTAGATTGTTTAGTCATCATAAAAACATTTTGGACTGAATAAAATTTGAGGTACAGGTAGAATGAAAAACAATTTCTATTTAACAAGCAAACTGTACAACTAAAAATTAAAAAACTTTTTAAAAATCATCTTGATGTAAGCCTGTTTAAATCATCTAAAAACGTATCAAATTCGACGAAATCACTTAAATCAAATAATATTTTCAACTGTTGTAAATTCTCATAAATATCCTTAATAGTCGTAAAAACACTCGACCAAAAACTACAAATAGCATTGTTACTGATATCCTGTTTGGAAAATTGTTCACACACACAATCAACATTCATTTCATTCTCATTCGAGGTCTGATTCAATAATTTTCTTTTCATTAATTCGCCATTTTGAAATTTCTGCTTGAGTGATTCACAGATAGTTTTGCATTGAGTCGACAAGTTGGTTATTTCATCTTCAGGTGGGGATGGCTGAGAATTCAGGAAATCTTTGTATTTGATTGACATGCTGAAAATTTAATAAAAATATTTTAAGAAAATAAAAATTATTTTTTAACACAATATATTGCAAAGAGCAAAAACAACAGATCAAATGGTTACCTCAATAAATTCTCAAGTCGATGAAAATTCACAAAAATTTGATACCCATCCTCCAATCCATCATTGAAGCCGTTCTGCAGGCTAACCTCACAACCGACCAAATAGCCATCTCTGTATCCTTCCTAATTTTTAAAATAAATTAGTGAAAAATTAGTATGTTTTTTTTATTTAGTAATCTAAGGACTTTATCTTTTTATGAGACATAGTACTCTGGAAAAATAAATTAAATTAAATATTAATTACTATGAAAAACTAATACATTTTTATATAATTTTTATTATTTAATATTGATGTTGATCTGTCCAAAAAATATTTTTAAAAAATAATAAATTATTATTTAAAACTAACAGTGTGTCTGTTTTTCTCTAATTTGCTCCACGCCTGGCCGTCAAGATCGTAATCCATGGTCAAATTTTTTAGACCCAAATCATCAACTCTTAATATAATTATTATATTATAATATAATTTAATTCAAATTAAATTAATAATGAAAATAAATAAATAAAGTTTATTTTAATGAATAAATAAACTAGATTTGTATGCATTTTAAAAGTGAAGAAAGTTACAAATGGAAATTACAGAAAGTTTCCTCAGCTAATATGATCATTTTCCCATTAAAATGTACCCGTATGGAGTATACATAGTTAATACACGTGTATATAACACAATTACTACACATTTTTTTACTTTGATTTTGATTTAGACATACATTCAACGTTTTATTACGTTTTTTCCATCATATTTTCAAAAAAAAAAAAAAACAAAGTCTATATTTTGAAGCTTATAACTTAAATTCCCTTTTAAATTATTTCTTCACCTTGCACACCACATACGTAAAAGAAAACATTTTTTTAAGTAGAATCGAACGATCGTAAGAAAAAATTGGAAAAAATACGACGGCCAGGCGTTCGAAATGACGGACGATGGAAAAGGAGAAAATGAGCAGGCATTTAGATACATGTATCAACTGGCCGACTTTCTGCAAACGTCGGATAACGCCGTCCGCATTTTTTTATCTCTGCTCTTGGGTAGGATGGCCTTTTAATTTTTTTATTTAATAATATATTTCATTTAATCTTTAATGATAATAAATTATTTTAATAGTTAATAATAATTATGCGTGATAAATATTTTTTAAATATGACCTGCAACAAACACAGGATATCCATTGGCATGCATTTACAGAAAATACATTCTAGCACAATCCCCAATGATTCAGCATCTCTTCTTTACATTCTTTGGTCTCGGGTTGTGTTATTTCAATTTTGGTTAGGGATTTTTTTGTGAGTGTTTTTATATTATTATTATTATTATTATTATTATTATTATTATTATTATTAATCACCATATAGGTACAGATGTGATACATTCTATCATAAATGTTGCACTAATTTATGTTACACTGTTAACTGTCGGTGGTTCTATGTTGTCTGTCATTCTTGCTTTTGTTATCAACATGGTTGGTTCATTTTTAGAATTATTTTTACAACAATTTTATTGTTTTTTTGTAGTCATAATTTTAATTTTATTACAATTTTTGTTGTTCTGTTGTTTTTGTGTTGTTGTATTTACTTATAATAATATAAAATTCTAATAAAAGCTATATACTTTAGCTTCCCAATAAATATGAGTTTGGCCCTTATATGAATAAATTATGTTAATAAGTTTGACATTTTTTGTTTCCATTTTTGCCTAGGGTTATTTATGCATTGGCTATTATTATACAATGAACGAGAGTTATACGATAAAATGGACAACGCCACATTGTGTTCTATGTTTGAGGCTCATTGGTCTGGTTTTCGATGTCTACGATGGTGCAACCAATAAGGTGCTTCTATTTATTCTTTAGTTTTTTTTATTTGTTTTTTCATCTATGCTTTTTTTAGATTTTACCTTTGGTTTTAAGTTATGACAATTATGAAAAATTGATTTCAAATCAGGAAAAACTGTCCGCAGACCAATTAGAATCTTGTCTACTGAAGATCCCATCGTTGTTAGAGATCTGTGGTCACACTTACTGTTTTGGAGGCTTTCTTGTTGGACCCCAAGTTAGTGAAGAATTAGTGAATTTTCAAATTAGTGAATTCTTAATTTAATTAGAAATTGCTATTTCTATATTTATCAAATTCTCAAATTAGTGTAATAATTCACTTTCAGTTCTCAATGAAAAAGTATCTGGACTTTGTTAATAGAAAACATTTAAAGGGACCAAATGATAAACCAAACAGGTTTTCCACTCTTTCTCTCTCTCTCTCTTTCTCTCTTTCTCTCTCTCTCTCTCTCTCTCTCTCTCTCTTTCTCTCTTTCTTTCTGTCTATTTAACTATTTTTTTTCTGTCTCTTTATATCTTTGTTTCTCAGCTTTATCTTTTTCTCTTTCTTCTTTTTTTAATCTAATTTTATCCAATTTACAATTTATCCCCTCACATATTCATTAACTCATCTGTTAATCCATCCATTCATTCATTTATTCATTCATTCAATCATTCTTTCTTTCATCCCCAACAGCATCAAACCATCAGTCCATCGTTTAATGATTGGCATGCTTTATGCGGTAATCTACCAGCTGACCAATCCCTACCTGCCAGATTCTGCCCTAACTTCAAAGGAACTTTTAGTAAGGGTTTACATTAATTTCAATTTCATGTTTATATTTGTTTTTTATTATACCAAAATTGATATATGTGACGTTTTTTTTTGATTTACCAAAGATTATTCATAAATATACGTTTAAAAATATGAGTTTAGATCTATATCAAAATTCGTTAAAAATAAAAATTGGTGTTAAATTTCGTGAAAATTATTTTAAAAAAATAATGAAATGTGGTATAAATTGATAATTGATTTTTAAAAATATTAAAATGTAATATAAATTGATAATTGATTTTAAAAAATAATATAATTTAATAGAAATTAATAAATGAATGAATGAATAAATGACTGACATTAATTAGGATTCATCATCATTCCTGTACAAATGCTTCTTCATCACTCTCTGGTCTAAATTCATGCTGTACAAGTACATTGGGGTTTGGCTTATCTCAGTTAGTAGCAGTAGTAGTAGTATGAAACAGATGTTATTATTATTATTCGTTATAATTACTATTTTTTGTTATTTATTTTGTTAATTACTATTTATTTATATTTATGTTTTTTATTATTTTCAATCTTTTTAAAAATTATTGTCATCTAGTAAATCTTATTATTATTATTATCATTATTATTATTATTTTATTATTGTTGTTGTTGTTGTTATTAGGAAGGTGCCTGCATTCTCATGGGCCTCTCATACAATGGCACGGAAATCATCCAGAAAAGCGAGACGAAATCCGGCGGCGTCGGGAACGGATTAGGGATCAGGGATGTGCGTGAAAAGTGGGACGGGTGTAAGAATGTAAAAATTGTAGATTATGAGAGAGCCAGCATGTGCCAGGATCTCGTTTCGTCGTTTAACATCAACACTAATAAGTGGATGGCAAAGTTAGCATTGTGTGCAGTGGGGTCTGTTTTTTTTTGTTGTTGCTGTAACGACCATCAAAAAGATAGAATGATTGATTAATGGATGGATGGATGGATGGATGGATGGATGGATAGATAGATAGATAGATAGATAGATAGATAGATAGAGAGATAGATGTGTAGATGTGTAGATAAAATGGTTGGTAGATAAATTGATACACGCGTACGCATACAACAAAACTTATTCAAACGTATTCTCAGGTACGTTTTCAAGAGGTTAAAGTTCATAGGTAACAAGGATTTATCCCAAGTGGCGACCCTGGCATTCCTGGCTCTCTGGCACGGATTATATTCCGGATATTTTATGAACTTCTTCCTGGAGTTTTTTCTCATAAAGTTTGAGAGAGAGGTTTGTGATGGATATAAATGATGACGCTGATGTGACTGTGCGACCTATTTTGTCGTTGTTTCCCAACTAGTTTACTCAAGTTCCCGCCATAAACAACCTGGTGACCTACATTAGAGGCATGCCATTGGGTCATTTTGTAATCTGGGTCATCAAGAAAGTTCACCTACAGTTCATTCTCGGCTATTCCCTTGTATCATTCTGTCTCTTCACTTACTCAAGATATTTGAAGGTGTGTTTGAGTTTGTATATTTGTTTGTGTGCTTATTTGTTTGTGTATGTGTGCGTGTGTGTGTCTGTGTGCGTGTGTGTGTGTGTGCGTGAGTTGTTTCATCTCACATTGTTTTTGGTTACAATAGGTCTACTGTTCCGTCTTCTGCATTGTGCATGTCGTCCATATGATCCTCTGGCCAGCATTTTTCTACTGGTACAAGAGTATGAAGTAAGTATTTCGTAGTTGATTGATTGATTGATCGACTTGATTGATTGATTGATTTGATGTTTGATTGGGTTGTTAGGTGGTCGATTGATTCGGTGTTTGATTGGCCGATTAGTTCATTTTTTTATCATTCATCCATTCATTTTATTAAGTCATCCTTCCATTCATTCGTTCATTCATTCATTCGTACTATCAATATAAAATCAGCAGACCAATCAAAAAACTCGAATCAGACGCGCCAAAAAAAGTTGAAGTAGGTGGCACCGGTGATGGCAAGATTTCATAGTCAACATCCAGTCGTCAGAACAACAACAACAACAACAACAATAATAATAATAAATAATAAAAATAATAAATAATAATAATAAATAATAATAATGTTTTTTCGTTTAAGTTTTCTCTTTCTTCTTCCAATGATATGTTCTCATACTTTTGTTGTTACAGTCACATTGTACATATAAGATATATACGTTTATGACATTGTTATTGTTGTTGTTGCTGTTGTTGTTGCTGTTGTTGTTGCTGTTGTTGTTGTTGTTGTTGTTGTTGTTATCGACTTTCGATTGCATTTTTATTTCTCATAAAATGGTGAATGTTAGATCTTGATGCAGCAATTGTTGTTGTTATTGTTGTTGTTGTTATCGTTAATGTATTGCTGTCATTAACGTTTCGTTTTTTCATATCATTCATAAATATTAACTATCGAGAGAGAGAGAGAAAGAGAGAGAGAGAGAGAGAGAGAGATCAAAATACTGTAAATATGTAGACGTTTTAGTTTTATTTAGAGTAAAAAAAATAGACGAAGAATAATAATAAACAGAGAATGATAATTTTTTTTTTGCTTTGTTTCCCATTTAAGAGTTCTATGTTCTTTTTTTTCTGTATTTGATAACTCCTATTATCGTCATTCTGAAAAAATATCGATCTTCTATGTTATTATTATTATTACTATTATTATTATTATTAGTGGTGGTAGTAGTAGTAATAGTAGAGGTAGTAGTAGTAGTAGTAGTGGAGATGGTAGTAGTGGTGGTGGTGGTAGTAGTAGTAGTAGTGGTGGTGGTATTAGTAGTAGTAGTAGTAGTTGCACTTCAAGAAGAATCATATTTATTTATATACATAGTAAACAATTATAGAATTTTTTTCGGCTTTTCGTTTCGTTTCTTCCTTCTTTTCTTTCTATTAACGTTCCTTTGTTTTCTGACATTTTACTGTACTGCGTATGAATGAATGTATTGTTAGAAGAGAGAGATAGAGAGAGAGTGAGAGAGAGTGAGAGAGAGTATGAGAAAGAGTATGAGGAAGAGTATGAGAGAGTATTTATGTATATGTAAGTATTAGCTGGCTAGTGTTGTGGTGTTTGTTGTGTTATTCACACACATTCATTCATTCATTTTTATGCTTCTTTTTTTATGGTTTCATATTTTTTTAAGAAGTTTGTATAAGGTCGAGGATAATAATAATAAGAGTAATTATAGTAATGATATTAATTATTAATAGGTAAATAATTGTTTTAATTATAGTCATAATATATATATATATACATATATATATATATATATATATGTGTGTGTGTCATTTCGATTTTATTTTGGTTACAGAAAAAGACAAGTTTTCTTAGCACTGATTTTTATTATTATATCGCAAACAACATACAAGTGTGTGTTTTTGTGTGTGTCCATGTATTTGTGTGTGTGTGTGTGTGTGTGTGTGTCCATGTATTTGTGTGTGTGTGTGTGTCCATGTATTTGTGTGTGTGACTATGAAACTTATATTGTAAAACTTGATTACCTAGACAATTAGTTAATTAGTTAATGATGTTTATTATTTCTTGATTAATATACATTAATTCGGTTGTGCAATGATAATAATGATTGTGTTATTATTATTGTTGTTATTATTATTGTTGTTATTATTATTATTGTTGTTGTTGTGGTGTGGTTGTGGTTGTTGTTTTGGGTTTAGAACAAATGTATTTCTTTCTTTCACCAAGATATAAATAAATAAATAATCATGCAGTTTATTCGGTGTCTTTGGTTACCTGTCATTGTGATGATGAGGACGATGATGTTGATGACGATGACGACGGCGATGATGATGATGGTGGTGGTTATGAAAATGACGGTGCGATTCAACGCTTAGTTCTGAGTTTTATGGGTTAATTTGAAACCTTAACGCAAAATTTTAATGGATGTGATTAAAATATCATGTTATAAAAATTTATAGAATACCGGTAATAGAATAATTATAGTTAGATGGAAATAATTATTACTATTATTATTATTATTATTGTTTTAATAAGTCTATATCTCACTTCAATCACTCTCCGTTTGATGTCATCATGGTCGCCATCTTCCTGGCCATCTTTATGCAGATGACGTCAGCCTTAGGGCCGGCCAATGATCTTTCTTCCACCTTGCTTCCTTCAGCGCCATTGGTCCGCTGGAATGTTGCGTCATCGGCTACTTCTCCCACTCTTCCCATTTCAATGTAATTGATGCTGACGGTGATGATAATGATTATTATTATTATTAGTAGTAGTAGTAGTAGTGGCAGTAGTAGTAGTAGTAATAGTAGTAGTAGTAGTGGCAATAGTAGTAGTAATAGTAGTAGTAGTAGTGGCAATAGTAGAAGTAATAGTAGTAGTAGTAGTAGCAATAGTAGTAGTAGTAATAGTAGTAGTAGTAATAGTAGTAGTAGTAATATATTTATAATTATTATTGTTATAGTTAGTAGTAGTGGTAAAGACATTTATTGTAGAACTTACAGTGCGATAGACATCTTCGACTGGAATCTGAATTATTAAAAAAAAATTAATTTGAATTTATTCAATTAATAAATTAATAAAATTGAAGTTTCCGACCGGTCTCCAACAACAAATACTTCTATTACACCGACCGTTCGAGTCAGATGGCATCAAAAGTTGTAAACCGACAACGAAACCGACGAATATTGTTAACATAAATAATGACAACGAATAAACCGACATACCGATTGGCAGTAGAGGACGGCGAAAGAAGTTGAAACAAATGCAAGATCAACGTTTTAAAGTAGAATACTCATCTCTTTTATACCAATTGCAGGATAGAGAGAATGAGTAAGTGAAGAAATGAGCGAACGAAAGACTGTACGAACGAACGAATGAATGATTGAATGAATAAATGACGAACCCTTAAACGAATGAATATATGAATAGTTGGGTTTAACTGCTAGCAATTTATAAACATGTAAAAGTATATTCAGTTACTTTTCAATTTATGTATATATGTATGTATAAATACTCACACATGTGCATATATACACATACATACATACATGTATATTTGCATACATACACAGGTATTTATATATAGATGTATATATATATTATAAATAAATTTTGAGCTAGCAAGTTGTTAAAGTTAATGTCACCCCATCATGTGCAAACATACACACACATACACACACGCACACACATACATACAGACATATATATTTATACACACAAACACACACATATATATTATATATAAACGCATTTTGAGCTGGCAAGTTGTTAAAATTAATGTCACTTCATCATCATAAATTTATGTCTATTTATATCAATTATTATTTTTGTGTTTTGCAGTTATTATTATTGTTATTGTTGCTGCTGTTGTTGTTGTTGTTGTTATTTATGTTATTACATCTCGCGGTAGGTTTGTCATGAGTGATTTTTTAATGTCTGTCATTTTAAAGATGGTGTTTTTTGTTGTTATGTCAAATTGTTGTTGATGACGTTGTTGTTGTTGATGTTGTTGTTGATGTTGTTGTTGATGTTGTTGTTGATGTTGTTGTTAATGTTGATGTTGTTGTTGTTGTTAATGTTGCTGTTGTTGATGTTGTTGATGTTGTTTGTTGAATGGATGAATGAATGAATGAATGAACGAACGAACGAACGAACGAACGAATGAATGAATGAATGAATGAATGAGTGAATGAATAAACGAACAAACGAGCGAACGAACAAGCAAACGAACAAACGAACGAACGAATGAATGACAGATTGACAGTTAGATTCATGCTATCATGACATCAATGAAATGTAAACGACTATTTGAAATAACGCATCAAACCACATTCAGTCATTTTTCATATTAATAATACCCAAAAATATCCGCTTTGTTATGCATATACACACGCACATGTATACACACATACATACACACACAAACACACACAAACACTTATTCACAAACACATAATTATTCACACACACACACACACACACACACACACACACTATATATACATACATACATATATATATATATATACTCACACATACACACATATACACACACATTCTTATATGTTCAAACATACACACACACATACGCACACACACATACAAACACACACACAACACATACACACACATACATGAAGCTCAAACATGTGGCGAGTCTAAAACAGTTATCTAATTACATTGACATTTAAAATTTGAGAAGAAAATTATGATTAAATATGAAATTATATTATAATAATAAAAATAATAATTATAACTATTAGTAGTAGTATTAATATTTATAATTTTTATTATTAACGATATTGGTATTAAAATAAGACGGTTAACATTTCAAACAAGCACGACAACCCAAGCAGCGTACGTATCAGGTTCCGTGGAATGAAGGATGGTGAGAGTAAAAAATGAAGGAATGACTGAGAGCGAAATTTGAAGAGAAAGAAACGGGAAGGGAGAGCAGAGAGACAGAGACAGAGAGAGAAAGAGAGAGAGAGAGGGAGGGAGGGAGAGAATATAATGAAAAAAACAGAGAGTTAATGAACGGTTAAAAATATGTTTAGAAAAAAAATCAAAGAGAATCAGAAAAAAATAATGAAATAGAAAGAAAGACGGAAGAAGACAAAAAGAGAAATGGAGAGAGAGAGAGAGAGAGAGAGAGAGAGAGAAAGAGAGAACAAAAGAAAAAATATGGAGCAAAATTCAAATGAAAGAAAAATTTTATTTTCTCAAATCATCAAATTTATTCGCCCTTTTAAAATATTATCAATATGATATCCTGAGTTATTTGCAGTTTTTCAACACAGTTGTGTTTATAATTAGATCACTCGGAAAGTCTTCTCTGATTGGCTGGTGCAATCGTAAATTTGGACAGCCCACTGGGTTACTCCCGACCAATTAGGTGACGAGTTTCATTGCACGTGGTATAATTGCGTGGCGATCGTAGGCGGAGACTAAAAATTATATGGCGGCGATGATGATGATATCGTTATTCTTCAGGATGAGGATGATGATGCTGATGATTTTAACGATGATGCTGATGAGGAGGAGGAGGATGTTGGTGGTAATGATGACGAGGATGATGACGGTAATATGAATAACAACAATAATAACAACAGTAATAATAATAATCATAATAATAATAATGACAATTATGTTAATTAGGACGATGATACTATATATATATGATATGAGCCTTTAAAACAAACAAATCAGAGAACGGAAATAGTGATTAGCAAATGATCATTACAAATAGACCATTATATATATATATATATATATATATATATACATATGTATAGTATATATATATACATAGGATATATATATATATATATAGGATGATGTTAAGGATGAATTTGCATGTGCACAATATCAGCATCAGATAAACATTACCAAACAATTAGTTATATATACATATATATATATATATATATATATATATATACATATATACGTACGTACATATATATATATATATGTATATATATATATATGTATATATATATATATATGTATATATATATATAGTGGAGGGAGTTTTTCTTTAAAGAGTCAATTGAGTTTACAACCGTTGAGCATTAAAAATTGCATGTTGTTGTTGCTATTGTTGTTGTTAGTATTTTTTGATGTGTATTTTTTGATGTTTATGTTGTTGTTGTTGTTGTTGTTGTTAATGTTGTTGGTGGTGGTGGTGTTGTTGATGTTGTTGTTGATGTTGTTGATGTTGTTGTTGTTGTTGTTGGTGGTGGTGGTGTCGTTGTTGAATGTTTCATGTTCGTTGATTAAAGCTTAAATTATTATTTAAAAAATGATAATTATCGTTGTTTTTTTTTTATTTAATTTTGCTAGATTTAAATGCATTTCCTATTAAAATTTTTAAATTAACGGGCAAAAATTACAATTTAGAATGTTTTTTTTTTTACAGTTTGCGTAAGTCTACTTGTAACTCGGTATACATGTAATTTCGATTAAGTTAGTAACATGGCTTCATTCTCAATTGACGAGATACTCTTTGGAGGGAGAATTAAAAACCAAACTAACAACAACAACAACATCATCAACATCAACAATATCAATGAAAATATTGCTAACGACAACAACAACAACATCAATATTAACACCAATACAATCATCTTCAATAGAGCCAACAATGACAACAACAACAATAACAACAACCATCGCGACAACACTAATGTCTCGAAAAACATCAACTTATGCAACAGCAACAACAACAGCAACAACATCAACAACAACCTCAACAATGTCGAAAACCACAAAAACGCACATTACATCAGCAAAACGAAAATCGAAAATTCAGTGGCCTTAGATCAGGATTACAGTAACAACAAAAACATTAAAAATAACATTAAAACTTATAACAATGACGATGATGATAACGTTGATGATGATAACAATGATGATAATAATAATAACAAAATAAGCAACAACTACTTCAACAGCAACAACATTTTTGTCAACAATTTAGGTTTTAGCGCGCCACAATTTTTCCGCCAACCACAACATCACAATCAACACCACCAGCAACAACAACATCAACATCATCATCATCACCATCACCAACAACAACAACACCATCTCCAACAACAACATCATCATCATCACCAACAACAACAACAACGTCATCATCATCACCAACAGAGTTCCTCATGCCTTTTCAAGCTTTCCAAAAAAAATTTCGACACGCCTTCAATCGTACAATCAACAAACAACCAAACAACAACATCATCATCATCGGTGCCTTTGCAACTAGCATCATCACCAGCGTTATCATCATCGTCATCATCATCGTCGTCGTCATCACTGAGACCCAACGTCATTTTAACATCCTCGCCAATATCATCTTCATCTGCTGATCAAAATGCATACAATCGTATTGACAACAATACCAACATCAATACTACTAATAATAATATTAATAATAATAACAACAACAATCATTCCAACAGTCAAAATTACAGTAGCCTTAGTATTAGTAGCAGCAACATCATTAAAGTCAATGACAACAATAATAATAACAGTGGTAATAATAATAATAGCTGTCATCATCATCATCACCACCAGGATCCAACATCGTCATCATCATCACCGCCGACAACGAGTGCCCAATCAAATATGATGCAGAGGAAAAGGTCAAGAGCCGCATTTTCACATGCACAGGTCGGTTGGTTGATTTGATTGGTTGATTGGTTGACTTGATTGACATGATTGGCTGGTTGGTTGATTTGATTGGTTGATTGGTTGACTTGATTGACATGATTGGCTGGTTGGTTGATTTGATTGGTTGATTTGATTGGTTGGTTGGTTGTTTAGTTGAGTTGATCGGTTGGTTGGTTGATGCGAATGATTTGATTGGTTGATTTATTTGAATAATTTGATTCGTTGGTCGGTTGATTTGAATGATTGATTCGATTGGTTGATTGATTGATTCGAAAGATTTGGTATGGTTGGTTGCATGATTCGATTGCTTTGATTGGTTAGTTGAGTAGTTTGAATGATTTCATTGGTTAGTGGTTTCGATTGATTAACTGATCAATTGGTTCGATTGGCTGATGATTGATTGATTAATTCCTGAATTAACTAACTGTTATACTGTGAATTGGATTTAATAAGAACTGATCAAATCATCAGCCGGTGGTTTCATTATCATACCACCACCACCACCAACATCATCATCACCACCACCACCACCATCATTATCATCACCACCACCATCATCATTATCATCACCACGTAGGTATACGAGCTCGAACGTCGGTTCAGTCAGCAACGATATCTATCCGGTTCTGACCGATCGAATCTCGCCCAAAAACTCCGACTTACCGAAACCCAAGTTAAAATTTGGTTCCAAAATAGACGCTACAAAACTAAACGGAAGTTGCAAACGGATGCAATGACGTCATCGCCGACTATTTTTAGCGAGGTCGGCGGTATGGATGGCGTTGATTTATTTAGCGCAAAATATTTCTACGGATTTGCTGGCAATCCTCATCTGTGGTCGCACAAAAATGGTTTGGCAGTTGGCGGAATTGGAAAGTATGGGAAGACGGGGAGGAATTCCGGTGAAGTTGGTGCCAATGTTAGCGGCTTGGGAAGTTGGATTGTTGGGAATGTGAGTGCTGGGATCAGCGAGGAAAATTTTTTCAGGGATTTGTCTCAACAACAACAACAGCAGCAGCAGCAACATCAGTTACATCAACAACAACAACACCAGCAACAACAACAACATCAGTTGCGTCAACATCAACAACAGGAGAACCACCGTCAAATGGAACAGTTTCATCAACACCAGCTGCTTCTGCATCGCTCCGAGCAGATGTAAGGATATTATCATGAATAGCTACAACAACAACCACAACAACAACGATCAGAACAACAGTATTAATTTATACAACATCAACAACAACAATAGCAATAATAGATATAATATAATTATCGACGCTAAAACTGATATTGACGTACATAAACACAACAACCTAAAGAACAACAACAACAACAATGATAATAATAACATTGACAACAAAAACATAGATGATGAATATAACGGAAATGACATCAAAAACCCTTTCGCTATCAAAGACAGTAAATATTCTATGTCCGATTGTAAAAATATTGCTAACACCAAACAATCAGTTAATTTTTTTGATGAATAGTAACATGAATAGCGTTAATTACATCAACAACAACATCAACAACAACAACATAAACAACAAAAACAACAACATCAACAACAACAACAATTTTTTTTATCTAAAACATTAACTAAATTGTTATCATTGGTTCTGTTCGTTATTATTATTATTATTATTAATTTTTTAAACTTTTTAATTAATTTATATTGAAATTTTTGAAAACATTTTGCTTATTATAATTATAATTATTATTATATGTGTATATATAATATGAAAACAAATAAATACTTCTGAAAAAAGCCTTAAGAGAGTCGAATTTTTTTTTAAATAACGAAATGTTGAGTAGGAATAACAATATAAAAACAGGTGTGTATGTGTGTGTGTACGTGTGTTTCTAAATTCTATTATGGTCATCCTGCTTTCTTTTAATTTTAAATTTTGAGAAGCAAATAAAATTTCGTTTCGTTTCGTTTCGTTTGTGTGTCTGGGTACGTATGTATGTAATGAATGTATGTATGTATGTATGTATGTTTGTATGTATGCATGCATGAATGTATGTATGTATGTACGTATACCTACATATACATAAATACATGCATACAAACATCCAAACATACAAAAATACATACATACAGGCACTTAAATGCATACATAAATTAAACCATAGATGATTATGTATATTAGTCTTTATCATTTTATTTTAAGTGTTAAGCACTAAGGAAAGGATCATGAAATGCTTGCATGCATACAAACATACATACATACAAACATACATACATACAAACATACATACATACAAACATACATACATGCACACTCACATACATGTACATTGTACATACACACACAAACGTGAACACTTAACTTTATCATAATTTCATTCATACAAGGTGTTTGTTTATGGAAAGTCACTTTACGCATCTTAGTATGTTTACGTATGTATGTGTGTTCATTTGTGTGTGTGTGTTTATGTATATGTGCATGGATGTGTGCGTGTTTACGTATATGTGCATGGATGTGTGTGTGTGTTTGTATGTATGTTTGTATGTATCTGTGTATTGAATTGTTTTTTGGTAATATGTATGTATGTATGTTTGTGTGTGTGTGTATATATATGTGTGTGTGTGTATGTGTACAACAACACATAATACAAAGCATTCGTCTACTCATCATCATCATCGTCGTCGTCGGGTTATCATCACTTCATTTATAATGGCTAGCTCTTAACCGCAATTAGCAGTGCAAATTACATTACAGTGCACACACACACGTACACACACACACATACAATACATACGCGCACACACACACACACCAATGTAATCATTGGTTGTCTCTCCTAAACCATATTTTATTTCCAGTTATGTTAAAACTTACAATTCATACAACCGTCACAGAACTAAGTAGCATCTACACACACACGCACACACGCACGCACACACACGCACGCACACACGCACACATCTTAATATAGCACTTGTAACATCATAGTGCGTCCGATGAAGAACCATTGAATACTGCAGATGAGTGTGCGCAAGAGAAAGCCATGAGGCTCTAAGATACATTTTCCCATCATCTTCATCATCTTCTTCACCATTATCATCTTCATCTTCGTCCTCATCACCATCGTCACCATCATCGTCTCCATCATCTTCATCATTTTTATCGTCATCATCATAACAGCATAAGAAACTACAAATTCATCGAACAACGACAATGATAGCATTTGATTTCCTCTCTAATTTAGCATCGTCTAAGGTGCCAAAAGAACAATGAACACACACACACGCACGCACACACGCACACACACACACGTAGCGGACAAGCGGAGGAGCGGGTGAATCTTATCTTAAGGATCTCATTTATGACGTCATAATTGCGTCATTAGGTTATCTCGAGTGATACTATATAAATGCCTACGCGTCCGTCCATATTTTTTCCTGTGTGTGCGTGTGTGTGTGCGTGCGCGCGTGTGTTTTTTACGGATGTGCATGTTAATGATTTCAATTACGAAAGTAAAAATGAAATGTTCGCCTGTTTGTTGGTTTACAATTTTTTTCCATGCGTTCGTTTTTAGTGACAAGTGCGAAAAAATGAACTGGAAATAAAACCGAGATGCACTCTCTCACACACTCACGCACACACACACTCACACACTCAGACATACATGCACGCATGCATGCACACACACACGCACACGCTCTTGCGTGCAATATTGCAAAACAAATAAACAATATTAAAAAACCCCGAAGCAGAAATCAGCAAGCGATTGAACGAACGAACGAACGAACGGATGAACAGCAGGTGAACAATTAAACAAATGAACAACGTTATTAATAACTGGTAATAATAAATAGAAACGAACTCCCTTTCAGTACACGGATGCACACATACAACACACTTACTGGAACACATACATAAATACACACACAAACACACACACACGTACATACATTCACACCCATTTATACAAACAAGCACACGTACACACGTACATAAACATACATACATACATGCATACGTACATAAACATACATACATACACAATTACATACATATAAATCATAAGTAAATAGGTATTATTTATTTACACAAGAGGCTGAAATACGCAAGTTAAGACGGGTTCTGTGGCCTTTGAACTAATGATCTGACCCGATTTATCGATGTGATTCTCGAGTTGACCTACAAATATGACTGTCCACGTGTGTGTGTGTGTGAGTGTGTTTGCATGTATGTGTGTACGTGCGTGCGTGCGTGCGTGTATGTGTGCGTGTGTACACATGTAAATAGGTAATGAACGTAACGTGATATGATCATCTTCATCATTTATTTAACACTTGAAAGCTATCTGCCGTCTCAATCTAGGAAGATGATGGTGGTGATGATGATGGAGTGATGATGATGATAGAATGATGATGATGATGGTGATGGAGTGATGGTGATGATGATGATGATGATGATGATGATGGAGTGATGACGATGATGATGGAGTGATGATGATGATGATGATAACGATGATGATGATGATGGAGTGATGATGATGATGATGATGATGATGATGATGATGATGATGATGATGATGATGATGGAGTGATGATGATGATGATGATGGAGTGATGATGATGATGACGATGATGATGGAGTGATGATGATGATGATGACGATGATGATGACGATGATGATGACAATGATGATCATCTATTATAACTAACCAACTTAACACACCGTGGTTGTAATTAGTACAAAGGAGGTTAAGAGATATAAGATTTTATTCAAAATAAGTACGTACTATCGTCATCATCACGTGATCGTCGTCATCATCATCATCATCATCATCATCATC